TCGTGTGAATTGGATCGTACCGAATTATGTTCCCTCATCGTTTTCAATTTCTTCACTTTATTGGTTATACCGGAACGATCATATTTGGTTACCACTGAAAATTCTCGTTTTTTTTTTTTTAAACAGACATAAAATTTTGGTCTAATTTGCAAAATCGTTCGGAAAAACTGCATGTAGCCTTCGAAGTCTGCACTTATCAGATGATTTGGGTTAGTGATGTACAATCGCAGATTTTAACGAGGCAAAAAAAAAATAAAATAAAATAATGAGATAAAGACAACATAAATATTTCAATGTGAAATTTTCGTCTTTTAATTTGAAGGATGCATTTTGTCGGAGGTTCGATGTTCAGGCTCCAATACTTCGGGATTTGTTCTTCGAACTGCCAGCATAAGAATTTTGATGTTACCGGGATATGACAGTCGCTTTGTCAGTGCCGTTCCACCATTCAATTGGGATACGGTCGTTGGACTATCAATAAATAGCAACGCGCACCAGATTAGCCGGTGCGATCATGCGTTTTGTGCAGTTCAGCCCACCGAACGATTGCCTATTAATGATTTTGACCGCTTTGTACATTAGTCTATGCAAAAATAGTTTACACATTGGAAAACAGTTAAAAATTTCACGCACCAGCGCATGAAAACAGAATTCGAAACCTTGAAGGGTGAATATCTTTTCGTGATTCCCGAGTTAATAGTTTATCCGCCAAAATTTTCACGAGGTCGTGGGTGGTACCGAGAGCGCGAGAACGCTGAATTTGAATGGGCAAGGTTGAGTGTGGGCAGAGGATCACTACCCTAAAATTTCAGCCTCCTAGACTCCGTGGTTCCCGAGATATTAACTTACCCGTGAAAAACTTTCACGGGGCCGCACGCGTTACCCGCGGGTACGGGGAAGCTGAATTTAAATCTGCGGAGTCACACGTGAGTGGGGAACGTTCCCCTAAATTTTCAGCTTCTAGCTTTTTTGGTTCTCGAGCTGAAAGTTGCGTTGCTCCGGACACACACAGACAAACCCGTAACAATATGCGTTTTGTACTGTGTTTTGTACTGCGTTTTGTACTGTGTTAGCACAGAACGCATAAAAATGTAGCGCCCTCATAATTACTGGAATGAGAAGACCAGTCTACTAATGTGAGGTCCCGTTATTACTAGGATAAAACAACCAGAAAATCAAAATAGGGAAAATCAAAGTCCCTTTTGCAGGGATGTAGCAGTTTCACAACTCTATTCCCAGTTTTTGTATAGTTTCTTCTCCGCCCCCACCTCTTCCCACAAAAGTCCGTCCTGGATCCACCTATGTGTCAGTGTTATCTGGGAAAAGTAGCCCCCATTATAAAAATGATTTTAATTGGAATGCAGTAATTGTTCTGTCAATATATAGCTTCTTGACGTTACTGCAGAGCTACCGTAGTTTTATTACCACAACTAGGAAACTGCAGAAGTTACTGAAATAATGACTACTAGGCTGTTGATGTAGAACTTCCCCGGTAGTACTACGGTTTGTTCGTTAGACTTTATATAGTAGCGTCGATTTTACTGGGATGCGATAACTGGAGTACCACTGTAGAATTATTCGACTTAAAAACGGGACTGAGTTAAGAAAACAAAATAACAAAGGCAATAACTATAACGGAAACCTTTTTGTGGATTAGCAGGAATCTTGAAATTCGCATCATTTTGTGAATGTGAACGAGCGGCCTGCTCATTCTTGTCTGAAAAATATCAGTACATATATACATACATATACCATGGTCACAAAGAAGATCCATTTCAGCAGGAGGAAGAAGCGCCGAAATCGACTAAATTGAATAAAAAATATAAAACTGATAAAAACGATCCAGAAGAGGAAATATTACCAAAAAAAAAAACGCGCTTAAAAAGCATGGATTAGAGAAGAAAAAAACATAATTTACTTTTTCAGCTATCCATTCACCAACCTCTACGGTATGGCAAAATTCAACCACCAAATAATCGTTTTACTTACATATGTCATCCAAGTAGTCGTTTACTTTCTCATCGATACCACTCACTAATACATGAATGATGGTGTAAGAAAATTGGGATTAGTTGCCATGTATAATAAGACATTTCACGATGAATGTCTAACGATTATTAGCAGAGCAAGAAACATTCTCTACCCATCCGACTTTATTTTCTTGAGTAGCCGTAATGAAATGCTGCACGCCGCTCATCTGACGAAGAGTCTAATTTTTCGTTGATCACAAACGAACATTTCAGACATTCGCTGTTTTCACTATTCTGGCAGTGCTTGCTCTTCAGTTTTCGTCATTAATTCGCTTTCCACTCGAGTTATGGTAACTTAAGTACATAATATGTGAGACTGGGAGAAAAAAAATAAACCATGTGGTGTTTCGATATGTTCTTTTTCAATTGTTACTGGTAAATTGTAG